CTATTCTAGTGCCCCTTTCAGGGAGATTGATGTATCCCTCCCTTGATCCTTTGTTGTTAACTAACTCTGTGTCTGTGGATTATAGCATGAATATCCTCTACTTGAAAACCAATATTAATGTATAAAGGAGTTTACACTATTGTCATTTGTATTGTTGGGTCTTGAGTTACGTTGAATCCTAATTTTCAGAGAAACTGACATACTGTTTTCCAGAGTGGTTGTACAATTTGCATTTCCACCAGCAATGGAAGAGTCTTCCCCTTACTCCCACATCCTCTCCAGCATAAGCAGTCACTGGTGTTTTTGTTCTTAGCCATTCTGACAGGTGTAAGGTGGTATTGCAGAGTCATTTTGATTTGCATTTCCCTGATGGCTAAGGATGTTGAACATTTCCTTAAGTGTCTTTTGGCCATTTGAGATTATTCTATAGAAAATTCTCTGTTTAGTTCTGTACCCCATTTTTAATTGAATTATTTGAAATTTTGATGTTTAATTTCTTGAGTTCTTTATATATTTTGGAGATCAGTCTTCTATCTTATATGGGATTGGAAATTTATTTTCCCATCCAATAAGCAGCCTTATTGTGTTACTGACTGTGCCCTTTGCTTTGCAGAAGTTTCTCAGTTTCAGAAGGTCCAATTTATTTATTTTTCCTCTCAGACTCTGCGTTTCAGGTGTTATATTTAGGAAGTGGTCTTCTGTTCCATGCTTGTTAAGCTACTTTTCACTTTCTCTTCATATTTATCGTTGTGAGCCTAGCCTTTAACGGCTGAGCCTTCTCTCCAGCCCTCACTTTCTCTCTTTTCAGTTGCAGTGTGATCAGATTTATATTAATGTCTTTATCCCCTTTGGACTTGAGCATGGTGATAGATATGGATCTATTTGCATTCCTTACATGTTGATATCCAGTTATGCCATAACCATTTGTTGCAGATGCTTTCTTTTTTCATTGTATAATTTTAGCTTATTTGTCAAAAATCAGGTGTTCATAGGTGTGAGGATTAATATCTGGGTCTTTGATTCAATTCTGTCATTCAATCTGTCTGTGTTTTTGCCCATCATCTCTTCCTCAAACCTCCAAAATGAACTGTTTGCTTAATTAAAACATATGTTCCCAGGTGTCTCAATCATCTCAGTGTACCATTTTGATACTGTCCCGAGCAGTGTGTAGTCCAAACCTGGTGTTTAGATGGTGAAACAATTACATAGTGCAGTTGAAATCTTCCTTGTGTGACTCACACTTCTTTTGGAGACTTCAGAGTCACTGTAATGCATGCTCATATTTCATTGCAAAAAAACTTAATCATTTTAATTGTCATATGCAGCAGATCTGTAAGAGGTTAAAGATGAGTATTTGTTATGTATGTGTAGATATCAGAGAGAGACTCAAACCCAAAATTAAATACAGGAAGCTAGATGAAACCTTTCCCTAGAAATAGTTATTTCCCTATATGATCACTAATATTATGGCTAAAGAGATATTTGTTGTTAATTTCTCCCAAGAAATTACTGTAAGCTCTTTGCCAATGTTCACTTCCTGTCCATAATGATTCAATTTCAACATTAGTAAAACATGCTAAATTTTTTTTATTGAGAAAAGGAGGAAAAAAAAAACAAGTTTCCACCTCCTCCCAGCCTCCCATTTCCCTCGCCCTCCTCCCACCCTTTTCCCCCTCCCCCCACTCCTTTCCCCCTCCCTCTCCAGTCCAAAGAGCAGTCAGGGTTTTCTGCCCTGTGGTAAGTCCTAGGTCCTCCCCCCTCCGTCCATATCCAGGAGGTGAACATCCAAACTGGCTATGCTCCCACAAAGCCAGCACATTTAGCAGGATCAAAACCCCGTGCCATTGTCCTTTGCGTCTCATCAGCCCTCATTGTTCGCCATGTTCAGAGAGTCCAGTTTTATCCCATGCTTTTTCAGTCACAGTCCAGCTGGCCTTGGTGAGCTCCCAATAGATCAGCTCCACTGTCTCAGTGGGTGGGTGCACCCCTTGTGGTCCCAACTTCTTTGCTCATGTTCTCCCTCCTTCTGCTCCTCATTGGGACCTTGGGAGCTCAGTCCAGTGCTCCAGTGCAATAATGACGAATATCTTGCATATCATCATAGAATCTTCATCTGGTGATGGATGGAGATAGAGACAGAGACCCACACTGGAGCACTGGACTAAACATGCTAAAATTTAACCTTGGTAAATTCTTGCTAATAGACGAAGTTTCAGTTTTCTTTTTAAAAAAAACTCAGTTTCTTTTTCCACATAACTTTTTAGTCTTTCAGTATGTTTATATGTTTAAAATATCGATTATAAGATAATATCTTTCCTCTGCAGTAAAATACCTATAGGGAATGCATAGAGCATAAAATGTCTAGAATGACGGCCAGGAGGTGGTGGCTCAAGCCTTTAATCCCAGCACTTGGGAGGCAGAGGCAGGTGGAGGTCAAGGCCAGTCTGGACTATAAGAGGTAGTTCCAGGACACATTCCAAAGCTACATAGAAACCTGTATCAAAAAAAAAAGTCTTGAATGTAACCAAACTCCAGATCCAAACAATCCATAAGTACCTTTTATAATTTTATTTCTACTAAACCATTTTTTTCTGCTTTAGATGATAATTCTCTTTGACTTGTCACCTTTTATGGTTTGGTTCTAATTACTATTTTCAATTTTTTACTCCAATAATGGGATATAGATGGTCAATGTCTTGCAACAATTTCTGAAATTTATTAAGATTCCACATATAACCTCTCCTAATTTTTAACTTTTGGGCTCAAATTTTTATAACACTATTTTATATGCTGAATAATTAATACAATCACCTTTTTGTATATTTTCAGAAGTAATTCCCAAGGAGACAAAGTTTGCTTTACTTCACCAACCATTTTCTCTAAAGTATTTATTTACATTTGAATCAGCTAATGACATTCCATATAATGTTGAAAACATACCTAACTTGAGTATAATTTCCATTGTAATAAATAACAAAGTACTAACATCCAGTACTTTATATCCTAATTGGTTTATAATAATAACTTTCAAGGACTAGAAATTTTCATTACATGTTTAAGTGAGTTAAATTAGATAAAATGGTTTGAGTAAGAATATAAAAATCATAGACAGTATGTTTTGATAAAAATGTCAAGTTTATATCAAAAGGGAGCATCCATATCTATATCAATATAAAATATATAAATAAGTAGTTGCCTTTTTAAATTAATTTTAATGATCTATACTTTTACATCATACACATATATGCCTCTTTATTTTTTTTTAGATTCAGTAATGTACACTTTTATCCTATCATTTCATTGGGTGCCTTTTGTAAGTGGATGTATATTTATGAATATATAGAGCTGGTTTTGGAGATGGACACTGGCTCTGTCCCTCTATAAATCCAAGCATGTCATTAAAATAAAAATTCAGAGTTTCTCTCTCAATGTCAGGATCATAGGACAGAAAGAAGAATTTAGAAAAATTTTCACTTTTCTACATTTCTACTTTCAAGTCTATTGTACATGTCATTGAATATATATGTCTGTATATGACTATAAATAATGTTTCAGTTTTCCACAATGCACAATGAATTTTCCTGCAGTAATTTCTGAAGTTTCAGGAAGAAGTTGGGGCCCCACAACAACAACTCAACCTGGTTGATACAATGGCATGATGATGATAGTGCTACTACCAGACGTGTTTTACATACCAGCTGCTCAAGATGGTTCCAACCTGGTTAGCTGAAATGGTCCACTTTTTACAATGTTCTGGACAGACCTTATAAGAAGAAGATCAGAAAAACTTTACATAATACTCAGAGACTATTTGCAGTTATACCAGACAGTAATCTTGGAACTTAACCATCATTTTAGTTTCGCAGGATCCCATAGAAAGAACATCGCCCCCATGACAGCTGGAAGTAATTCTAAAAGACTACATCCCCTCTCCCAACAAAGTTTGTCCTAAGGTTAGGGACATCATTTAGGGGTTGGTTATAATTGGTATAGGGTTGTGGGTTGGAAGGGAAATTTTATGGGCTCAGGGATTTCTTTGAAAAAAAAGGGAAAATTGGATGGAATAAGATAGTGTGAGTTTACATACATTAATAATAAGTAAGTAATAGAGTGAATTCTTGTGAGTTATAATTCTAGGCAATTGCTTTGATATAGATTTTTGTATGTTGATATAATGTTAAATATTGAATATTGTATGCATTCATGCTCTACCAATGCTTAAAACATTTTATATATTAATAAATATATTTATCAAATTGCAATGTACATTTCTTCCACTGATCAAGATACCTATTCATTGGTTACATTTTGAGCCCATTGTCCTCATTTGTTGTACAGTTGTTTATTGTACAATATTCTAATATGAAGTCTTAGTCTTTAAGTTATATAGGTATTAGAATTATAGATCAATAGTCATCTATGTTTGTCTTACTTATAGTTAGAATAATCAGGTTTTTCACACACATGAAGAATAAATGTTGAATAGATAGGTAAATCAGCCATTTCAAACAGCTGTAATATATGGATTTTACATAACCTAGGGTACTGTTGAAGTGAGACACAATTACTACTGGTAGCATTGTCTATTTCCAGAGAATGTTGAGCACCGGAGACACTCAAAGCTTGTTTTCTTGTTGTCAAAACTGGCCTTTGGTCAAAGACATGCTCATGCCTCAACCTCTGACAAAATACATGGTATCCAAAAATGGATAAGCAGTTCTGTTAAATCTTGACTGGCATTCATCTCAGAAACAAATATACCTACCTCTGTTTGCTGAGCATTGTGGTAAAGGCAAAATACACCAATAAGCCCAGTTTGCCCATCTTTTTTTTCCTTTCTGTAGGCATTAATTTTCTCATGCATACAACATACTGTTGATCTTTTCTCTTTTTCTTTCCCCATGAATAGATACTGCTCATATAAGGAGGTATCCTATACAAATGACACAGAAATAACAGAATTGATTCTCCTTTTCAATTTCCTTCTAAAGTGACTGTCGATGTCATGGAACAAGAATGGGGAACACCAGAATTGTAAAACTATACTGTCAAAGAAGTATGCATTTCACTCTCATACTTACACTGTACTCATGTATGGTATATTTTTGAAGGAAGTGACCTATGATGATGTGCACATCAACTTCACTAAGGAAGAGTGGGATTTACTGAATCCTTCCCAGAAGAATCTCTACAAAGATGTGATGCTGGAGACCTACTGGAACCTAACTACTATAGGTGAAAATGAATTTCTTTCATGTTTCAAAATATGGAGACAACTTTTCCTTGGTTTATAATTTTGTTCTGTAATTTGTTTTAGAGAAAGAATAATGGGGTGAATAACACAGTCACAGTTTTTAGGTGCACTTAAGATAATAAGCTAATTGTTGCACATTCTTAAATAATATAACTTCTATTCTGGTACTGTATTTTAGGATACTTTTGGGAAGACCTTAACACCAAAGAGCATTGTAAATGTTCTAGAAGACATGCAAGGTAATTTTCTTGTGCAAGTTCATAACAATTTCCCTTAAATAGTTTGTAATGTGTTCTGGAACTTTAAAACAAAAGCAAAAGTGTAAATAAGCACAGCTTTAAATATATTGATGGTTTTTAAGTTCTCACAAATCCATATACCTCAATTTCTTGTATATGAATTGCATCTGCAAAGCCTTCATTTAAGAAAAAGTCTAGGTAGCAATGCCTAAACAGATATCACCATTTGATTCATAGCATCATGAGAGCTATGTTGTAGAACTGCTGCTTCATTTGCTTCTTGCTATTCATGACAGAAAATGTATACATATTTCAGTGATGATGAGTATAGCTGCAAAACTTTCTACTAATTCAATAGCCCATGGTAAGCCTTGTATCACTCATATACTTTTTGTGACTGTGCTAAGTTTAGTGAAATCAGATTAGTCAAGGGTCAAGGGGCAGTGATGTGGAAAAACCTTAATATCTATACCTCAAGTCTCTGAAAGTTGAACCTTGTGGATTCATTTTGGAAATCTTTTATACACTATTCTTTTTTTCATATATATATATATATATATATATGATTTTTTCATATATATATATATATGATATGTCACTCTTGACACAAGTGTATGAGCATAGGAATATGGAATAGGAATATGGAAATATTTAGCTTACCTCTCCTTAAGAACAATTAAGAAGATAAACTGTAGTTCCTATGTAGAGTATACATGTTTAATTTGATCCACAAATACAAAGTTAATTTATTTTCTATCATCATGGTTAATACATAAATACAAACTCACATTACAACAAAAACAAACAAACAAACATGAGCTCTAGGTCTATGCAAATACTTCTGGGTGTCTTAGTTCACTTACCAAATGTATAATGATTCACAATATAGTAAAATTATGAATGGAGTAATGTTTGTAAATGTTGTAATAAGAGTGGCGGGCTACGTTCCTGGCACCCAGCCACCCGCATGGCTAGCATTATCCGAAATAATTACAGGGAAATTGTATTCTTTTAAACACTGTCTGGCCCATTAGTTCCAGCCTCTTATTTGCTAACTCATACATATTGATCTAACCCATTTCTAATATTCTGTGTAGCACCTTGGGCTGCTGGCTTACCAGGGAGGATCTTAACCTGTGTTTATGTCTGATGGGAGAATCATGGCGACTCCCTGACTGGGCTTCTTTCTCTCAGCATTCTGTTTTCTTTACTCCACCCACCTAAGGGTTGGCCTATCAAATGGGCCTAGGCAGTTTCTTTATTAATTAACCAATGAAAGCAACAGATAAGATACAAGACCCACCTCCATCATTTCCCCTTTTTCTGTTTAAACAAAAAAGAAAGGCTTTAACTTTAACATAGTACAATTACATATAGCAAAACAGTTATCAAGCAAGAATTACAGTTACAATATTTATATCTATTTTATCTTTTATCATAACTAAGGAAAACTATAACTATTTATTTATTCTTCAACTCCATCAAGACTCCAGAGTGATATAATATTACCTAAGTAAACAAGAAATCCAAAACTCTAGAAATGACAGAGACATCTTGCTCCCTGTACAGTCACCCAAAGTTCTTTTGTATCGTTGGGGCATCCGTCTTCGGCCTTCAGACCCATAGTGTTCAGCAGACATTTCCATGAAGCAGGAAATTTCAAAGACAGTTCAGTCACTTTCTGCTGTGTCCTGCAGAATGTCTTGCAGACTCTTTCATGAATCAGGAACCCCGAAAGAACATCTTGCCTTTAGGCAAGTTCAGCTGTCCTTTCTCTGCAGGTTCTCTGTGTCCAGTTTATTCAACAGTCCAGGCAAGAGCAGTTTCTTGCCCAAATGGCTATCAAACTCCATAAGGAGCCTCTTCGATGCCCATCTTCCTCTTGAAGTAGCTTGATGCTGCCAGGATCAGATGTGTCTCATTGTCATGAAAAGCCCTAAGGGATTAAAACATTTAAATGCCATATTCTTATTCTGCAGTCTTTAAAAGATATAAAGAATACCTATCTAACTGAAATATATCTCTATATATAACCTGAATATCTAACTAACATGACTACAAGCTTGACTAATATTTATGATTATCCATCAACAACCTGTATTTCCTAATTATACATTACATTTTAAAAATGAACTACACAATCACAATACCTTAATCAAGATACTGAAATACATATACGTATAACAAAATTGACCTTAAAATCCACACCAATGCAAATTATTCATACCTATATCATATCCCCCTTTAAATGTAAAAGAACATTTATAAACAATATTTGGGAACATGGGCACAGTTTTTTTCTCTCCAAACTGCTTCCTGCTGAATGGGGGTGCTGTTATTCAGGTCTTTAATGGGATAACCTGTCTGCTAGGTTCATCTCAGTCGGCAGTTGAGTGAAGTAATTTTCTGAAGGTGTTCACAGCAACCTCTCAGGAGGGCATGATCATACCATATTGGGATAGACACAATCCACAGGGTCTCATCCTCTGTGAAAACAAAAGAAGAAACTCCATTCCAAAGCATCATATCCTTAAACCAAAATTCTGAAGTCATAATACCCTTATGAAATCCATTCTGGTTCAGCTTGGTAGCCCATGTAATAAAATGTCTCTCTGTACTTAGCTCCTGTACAGTCAAAAATTTTAAAGAAAGCACAATAATACAAAGAATCCAGACTCGCTGTGAATTTTCCATTTTTATGTGTCTTATTTTTACTCTATCAGTTTACTTTATTCTGTCTCTTTAAAGACTTTACCCTTTTTTTAAAGACATTAACTTTATTCTTTATATTCTTTTTCCTCTCTCCCAAGCCTACGTACATTCATCCAACACTGTGACTCATTTAGTGGTCTTTTATGTCTGAATCTGTTTTATTGTGAATCTGTAATTTTTTTTACTATCCAGGAGCATTTCTTAAAATGTTAAGCAGTTCTTAAAAACTTAAGTTGCACCATGTACAGGTAATATGGTACCACCTGAGTCCTGCCTAGTCTAAACCTTAACCATGCTATTATTATGGTAATTACGGTAGTTCCTGCTGAGACCAGCATAGTTCAGCATGGTTGAGCTGAGCCTCTCCTGCCTCAGAGCCATTTGGTGCCCCTGAGCCCTCACAGTTCCAGGCACACGGCAGTCCACATCGCCATCAAGTGAGATGTACCACTTTACACCAAATGCTCCATTCAAAAGCTCTGTCTCCAGCAGGAGCCAGACAGAGATGGTGATGGCGGCACAGCCCAGAAAGCCGGCATTTTAAAACAGCCAGTTTTTTCCTGCTGCTGAGTCAGGAAAACTTCTTTGTGGCAAGCCACCCACAAAAAGCCAAAGCTGTATTAAACTCTCTCCCTTTTCTAAAGACCTCTCAGGTTTTTAAGTGGATGTAGTCCATCACGTTAGAGAGCCACTCCGTCATAATATGAGTGCATGGGTGCCAGGAACATAGCCCGACGCTCTTATTACAACAGGTAAAGCACTCAGTATATGCAGTTCTCTTCAAAAATGTAAAAAATACCCTAAAAAATATAGGTAGTGTTATAGATGAAAAGATAAACCATGACACAATGGAATTTATCATCACAAAAATTTTTTCTAGATGTAAAATGACCCCCAATGAGAGAACAAAACATGATTTTAAACAAAGCTATAAAACCTTGATATTAGATTCCTTTTTACAATTTGAAAAAAAATATGAAGTTAATTCATATAGGTATAAGGTTCAACTGCATTGAATGTGGTAAAGCTTTTACATGTGTAAATTTTGCTTGCAGGAATGAAAGAAATCAAACTGGAGAAAAGTTTTCAGTATATTCTCACTGTGGTAAAGTCTTGTCTTATAACACTCATCTTCTAAGGAATGAAAAAACACATAGCGGAGAAAAATGCTGTGAAATTAAGCAATGTGATGAAGTCTTTTCTTGTCACAATCATTGTGAAATGCATAAGAGAACACACAGTGGAGAGAAACCCTATGAATATGGTCAAGATAATAAAGACTTTCTGTATGTAACTCATCAAAGTCATAAACGAAAACATACTGGAGAGAAAACATATGAATGTAATCTGCATGGTAAGGTCTTTCCTGATCAGAGCCATCTTCAAAAGATTAAAAGAATATATACTAGAGAGACACCCTATGAATATAATCAGTGTGGTAAAGACATTACTCAATGTACTGTTTTTCAAACACATAAAAGAATACAAACTGGAGAAAAACCATATGAATATAATCAGTGTGGTAAGGCCTTTGCACGTCATATTCACCTTCAATTGCGTAGAAGAACACGTACTGGAGAGAAAACATTTGAATGTAATCGGTGTGGTAAGGCCTTTTCACACTACAGTAATCTTCAAAGCCATAAAAGAACACATACTGGAGAGAAACGCTATGAATGTAACCAGTGTGGTAAGGCCTTTGCACAACACAGCCACCTTCAAAGCCATAAAAGAACACATACTGGAGAGAAACCCTATGAATGTAATCAGTGTGGTAAGGCCTTTGCATGGCACAGTGATCTTCAAAGACATAAAAGAACACATACTGGAGAGAAACCTTATGATTGTAATCAGTGTGGTAAGGCCTTTACACGACATAATCATCTTCAAATTCATAAAAGAACACATACTGGAGAGAAACCCTATGATTGTAATCAGTGTAGTAAGGCCTTTGCACGTCTCAGTCATCTTCAAAGGCATAAAAGAACACATACTGGAGAGAAACCCTATGAATGTAATCAGTGTGGTAAGGCCTTTGCACAACACAGTAATCTTCAAGTGCATAAAAGAACACATACTGGAGAGAAACCCTATGAATGTAATCAGTGTGGTAAGGCCTTTTCTCAAAACAGTGTTCTTCAAACACATAAAAGAACACATACTGGAGAGAAACCCTATGAATGTAATCACTGTGATAAGGCCTTTGCATGTCACAGTGATCTTAAAAGGCATAAAAGAACACATACTGGAGAGAAACCTCATGAATGTAATCAGTGTGGTAAGGCCTTTGCACACCACAGTAATTTTCAAAGCCATAAAAGAACACATACTTGAGAGGAACCCTATGAATATACCCAGTGTGGTAAGGCCTTTGCCCTTCTCAGTCATCTTCAAAGGCATAAAAGAGCACATACTGGATAGAAACTCTATGAATGTAATCAGTGTGTTAAGGCCTTTGCTCAACATGGTGCTCTCAAATGTATAGAAGGACATATACTGGAGAGAAACCCTATGAATGATATCAGTGTGATAAGGCCTTTGCAGACCCCTGTACTCTTCAAAGGCTTAAAATGTAACATACTCTAGAGATACCTGTGAATGGAATGTGGTAAATTCTTTTTCACAATTATCTCCAAATACATAATATGAGCCCTTCTGTAGAGAAACCCTGAAGATAATTTGGATACTTTTCAAAAATATGAGAAAAAAATCATACTGTAGTGAAACTATAAATGAATTCAGTGTCATAATGTTTTGTGTTTTATATAAGAGTAAGACTTAGTGTGTAGTCATCTGAGAAAGCTTGTGCATATTATCATAATCTTTTGGACCTGATGAAAAAGCTGGGTGCTTCTTTTAAATTGTTCTTTTAGATGTCAAGCCACTTACAGTCAGTTAACAAAAATCAGTTATTGTGTAGAAAAAAGTTTGAAAATGTCAACAATTTGTTCATGTATCATTATAACTCTCTTTATTTTAGTTTGAACCAGCAAAGTAATGGATAAATCCTTTTCAGTTACAGGAAGGGTATTCCAACTTTGGTCTTCAAACCAGAGCCAAAGGAAAGAACTTTGTCTCTGAATCCAGAACTAGATAATGAAACAACATCTCCCTGAAAACAGCCAAAACATTAAAAGGCCCAGTGAAAGAAACACAACTTGGCTCTCAAACCAGAACCATAAAATCCTAAAAGTTTCAACAATGTTTTTAAGCTCAAAGGATATCATTAACTGAAATATGAGAGGCATCAAGAGTCAAATCACTCATACGCTTACTTGTAGGTTTTGTATAAAAGTATCCTTAGAAGTTGGGAATATAATTATAGTTATCAGAAGATTGGGAGTGGTCATCAGGAAGGTAGACAGAAGGTGGTTACAAGGAATATTTTCTGAAAAGGAAAGATGGTTTGAAGTAATAAATGATGGAAACATCACTCTTAACAGTAGCCACAAATAATATCAAATATTATGGAATTACCAACTAAAGAAGTGAAAGGACTGTTGGAAAAGAACATTAAATCTTTGAAGAAGACACCAGAGAATGGGAAGATGTCCCTTGCCCTTGTTAGGTAGAAATCAACATAGCAATCTACAGGCTCACTACCATTCCCATGTAAATATCAGAAAAATTCTTCACAGATCTCAAAATAAAAACACCCAACTTCATATATAAAAGCCAAAAAAATGCGGGATAACCAAAACAATCCTACATAAAAAATAATTTCTGCAGGCATCACATTCCCTGACTTCTTCAGATGAATACAGAGCTTCAGTACTGAAGAGAGCCTGGTGTTGGCACAAAAACAGATAGGAGGACTAATGGAACTGATGCTAGCAAAGACCCAGACATCACTCCACTCACCTACTACACCTGATTTTTGACAAAGCACCAAAAAATATAAAATGGAGAAAACATATTTAACTAATGGTGCTGGCATAACTGAATATCAATGTGGGGAAGAATGAAAGTAGATCCACATCTATCATCATGAACAAACCTCAAGTCCCAATGGATCAAAGACTACAACATAAAGACAAACACACTGAACTACATAAAACAGAATATTGGAATTACACTTGAACACATTGGTAAAGAGGACCACTTTCAAATTATAACCCCAGGCATCACAGACACTGAGAAAAATTATAAATGAGATTTCCTGAAGCAAAAGTTTCTGTAAAACTGTAGTATGGGAAAAGATATTCACCTAAACCACATTGGATAGAAGACTGATCTTTAGAACATACAAAGAACTTAAATAATTGATCATCAAATAAAAAATGGAGTACTCCAATAAAAATGGAGTACAGACCTAAAAAAAAAATCTTTTAACATATGAATCTAAAATGCCTGAGAGACACTTAAGGAAATTTCCAAACTCCTTAGTCATTAGAGAAATGAAAATCTAAACAAATTTGAGATTCCCTCTTACATCTGTAACAATAGGCATGATCAAAACACTGATGACAACTTAAGCTGGAGAGGATGTGGAGTTAAGGGAACACTCCTGCATTTTTGATGGGGTTACAAACTGAGTCAGCTACTTTGGATATCAGTATGGTTATTCTGTAAATTAGAAAGTCACCTGCCGGGTTGTGAGGCATGGCTTTAATCCCTGCACATTAGGAGCCAGAGATAGATCTCTGTGACTTCAAGGCCAACCAGGTCTACAAGAGCTAGTTCCAGGACAGGCTCCAAAGCTCAAGAGAAACCGTGTCTTAGAAAACCAAAAATTAAAAAAAAAATGAAAGAAAATTAGGAAACAACTTATCATAAAACCCAGTCATGCCCTTTGGATATGTACTCAATGGATGCTTAATCATACCACAAGGACAAATGCTCAACTGTGTTCACAGCAATATTGTCAGAGCCAGAACCTGAAAACAACCCCTCCTCAGAAGAATGGAAAAAGAAATTGTGGTATACTTACACAGTAGAGTACTACAGAGTGGATAAAAACAATTACATCTTGAAATTTATGTGCAAATTTATGGACCTAGAAAACATCATAAAAGAGTGAGTTAACCCAGAACCAGAAAGAAAAAATATATGTACTCACTCCTAAGTGGCTTTTCAATATAAATCAGGGGACAGTCAGCCTACATTTCACAATGCCCAGAACATATACAACAAAGAGGAAACAAACAGAGACATACATAAATCTGTTCTATATAGGACATAGAGAAAGACAAGATCTTAGTAAATTTGGAACATGTGAATCATGGGACAATGGGATGGGGGAGGAAGGGTGAATAGTGGATAAATATAGTTGAATAAAAAACAATTAAAAAATCCTTGATTCACAGCCGTTTGTGGGTGAATTAAACAAAGTGATAGTATAAAATGAATAGCTGAAATATGGAACTTTTCTTAGTTTTGTAGCTGAATGAAATACTTCCTCTTGCTAAGGCAGACTGATTTATGATATTTAATTAAAAACAATCCACACATTTTCCAACAGAAAATTAAAGATTTATACCATATCTCCCAATCTTCCCAAACCAATAATCACACATGAAACATTTGAGACGGAAGTGCTTGATTTTACCTAATGTAGCTGCATTCATTCTAAGTTCATCATGTAACACTGAGTTCATGTTTTAATGATGAATTTTGAAGGCTGTACAAGTCAGAGTGACAGACCCTGAACTATGTGAGTACTAATTGAATCTTTGACTTCTGAAAACACCAAGTTAGAGTGTAAGATTACCTTGGGCTTTTATAGGTCAGATGAGCACCTACAGAGCAATGGATCTCATATACAATATAGCTAGCATCCAGAATCAAGAACTGGATTCAAGAGAGCAACTATACCCTTTATAGATTCATTCATACTGTAAGAGACCATGCCCAAGTGCATTGATATTTTAAAGCTGTTAACTGAAGGAGCTCTCACAGCACCTACCCATTTAACTTAATACGAAATTCCAAACCCTATACAAAACTCTGTACACAAGATGTCAAAATTAAAGTTAGAATTACAATAAGCATAATCAATATTAAGGAAGGAATACATCCTAATGGTTTGATAAGCATTTTATCCTAAGGAGTCCATGTTGTAGTAGAAATGGCTTAACTAGATCATAAGAGGATGGTAAGTATGATTATCTCATCTTCAACCCCATCAAAGACCTGAGAAGAGCAATAATATTACTTGAGTAGGCAGGTAGTGCAGTCTAGCACCTTCCAAAAAGTGTAGTAGTTGACAGACAACTGACTGACCAATCAACCAAAGTCTCATCACAGTGTTGAAGAATAAGACTTCATATCAGAATATAAAACAATCTTTAAAGAACTATGCAGTAAAGCAGGACAATGACTTCAAAATGTAAACAATGTATAAAAATCTTGATCAGAGGTAGAGTAATATAATGCAATATGATAAATATATCATAAAATTGCATCAATAAAAATATGTTTTAAACAGGTAGAATCATACATTTATACAATCTGACATAATAACCTTATATAGTTGTTACAAATATTCTAAACAAAAATCAAAACAGTCTATATAATAAATATAATTCGAATTTGTGTCACTATATAAAAGTATACCAATGTAATCCATAAAAAATATTTCACAAGTATTCCTTCTATTACAAACTTATTAGTAGGAGTAAGTAATCTACCTATTATCCAATTCCATTTTCGCTCATTTTGAGATCTCTGGGTGTACATCATTTCACCCAATCCTATGACCCACCCAGCAGGTCCTAAGTTACTCCAGGGTCTTGAAGAGGCACTATCTGAAAGACTTGGGAGGAAAGAGAAACGGATGCCAAGCAGTATTTTGTCAAGGCATCCATTTATTGAAGGAAGTTTCATGTCTTAAATACTCCTCAGAAAGGGACTCGGGCAGGGGGAACTCAGGAAAGGGGGAAGGGAAGGAGGGGCTTGGTAGCTAGGCAACTAAGTGGGGCAGTTTGAGAGCTAAGCAGGGCAGTTGCAAGGTCAGTGGCTAGAACACCTGCTGTTAGTGATAGCAGCAAGCCCTGAAGACACCTTGTGGTACTTTCCAGAGCTTGAGTCTCCACGATCAGCACATAATGATTTGGCTAACTTTAAGTTTTCTGTCTCAAGATTTTTACTTCAATGCCCTGTGAGAAAGGAGAAGCCTGAAATGGCTCCTGACAATCCTATATTAGTAATAATCAACTCGTAAATGTTGTTCCTGACTGTGACGACAAACTTTGTTGGGAGAGAGAATGGCATCTTCTAGAATTGCTTCCAGGGACGATGTTATTTCTATGGGATATTATAAACGCAAAATGATGGTTAAATTTCAAGATGGCTGTTTTGGATAATTGCAAATGGTTTCTGAGTATTTGATAGGG